GAAGTAAATACACTAATAAATTCACTTAAGGGAGTTGATAAAACCTTGATTTCAAACCCTGTGAGCACAAAACCTCAAGGATCTAAACTAAACGAGTAGTGTGTCAATCTGTTTTGGCTATTGAACACATGATGGAAGGGAATATTCTGACATTACTGATAGGCTGGGTGCATCAAAACTTAAGTCTGTGGACTGAGAAGTAGTTGCTGTGAAAACAATAATCCCCTTTTATTATATGGGTGCCCCAAAGGTATCTCAGTTCTGATACAAATTGTGAAGCAACAAAATCTTGATTCAGTTTCATATGAAATATTTCAGCGCTTCAATCTCTATTTTTTTCTCAGCTATCTGAAGGCATTTTAAAGGCGGTTCCTAGAGCTATTTCTAGTGGTAATGAATTTCTCTTATCCAGCGAAAGGCTGTTTAACTCTGAGTATGAAAAGTTATCTTTTTTATTGTATATCTATATACAGGCCACTCACATACTACTTAGTAATTATTTGTGGCACAGATATATGCATGATACTGTTGTCATATGTGATGGGAATGCTAACATCAGAATGATAAACAAGGATTTCAGCAACTACTATAGTTCTGATTCTGTTGGAGTCTGAGGCGAAGTCGGAATTTCATTTTCTACGTGTTTTGTTAGAGAGAGTATCTGGTGTTTCCCTGAAAGATCCGCCAGCGGGAAACCTACGTGGAATGCTAAACACACAAATTTCCATATTTGGCTTCCTTTGTAAAATAGAGAAATCTGATTGACATTAAACGGTGAACAGGAGAGACTCAAGCAAGTCCTCATAGAAAATGCATACCCTTCAGAGTTCATGGAGAAAAAGATGAAGTTAAAGCAAAGCCTCGAAAGGACCCACACTGTGTCAAGGAAAATTTTGTTTGTGAACGTTGAGTTTAAAGATGACATCTCAGTTGAGAAAATGAAGGAGCGCATTTACAGATTACTGAGGAAATCCATCTTTGAGGCTGAGCTACAGATGACAAACCATCAACTTATGTGTAAAGGAGAAACTGCCACTATGTGTCACTGCAAAGTGTGTTTATAAATTCACTTTTATCCTGTGGAGTTAATTATATTGGCACAACAATGCATACACCTCCCAAACGCATCTCTGAACATTGTTTGACATGGTTAATAAAAAGAAAATTCAGGAAAGTTGCTAGCTCAATTCTCGAGCACTTGGTTAAATCAATAGTCTTCTTTAAGGACTATCTATTTGATCAGACCGAATGGCAGAAAGTACATTAGGTCTCGGCATTTGTTTATGATGGAGGCGCTGGTGATTCGTCAATACAACCCCTTTAATAATAGACGGCTATACGTCCTTGGTAAATATAAATACGACGCTACAGTTCCTAAAGATGATTTCGTCAATAAATGAAATTATCTTTCCTGGACCATTTTGCTTTACTTCTCATAAAATTATGATGACTTGGACTTGACGAATTGCTATTTCGATAGCTAATGTTCAATAGTTAGTCCATAGTTCTAAATGCCAACTCATTCTCATCTGTCAAGTTTGTAGTATAAGCAATCAGCAACCTTTAATACTCATCCCGACGATGCACGCTAAGCCAATCTGAAGTAATCAAAGACATCCCACAGCAACACCTTGACCAGCTTCTGGCAGACAGCCATCAATTCAGTAATAAGGAATAAAGGTATGGAAAGTTTCTGACTGATATCTGATTTATGTTGAATGGAGTTCAGTTGATAAACTGATACTGCTTTCGCTTCATTTATTGTGAGTTAAGAAATCAGTTGTTTTGGAAATCGATGTTTGCTTCGAGTTGATTTAAGACACATAAGATTCACAGTGAATTTATCATGTAATAATAATACTGTTCTCAATAAAATGTTAACATTACCACATGGAAAGTTTTCATCAACCACGTAATTGAAATGAATATCTCATCTATTTTATAGGTGTGTATGGATAGATGTAACTGATGGAGCAACACTCTTTACATTATCCATACTATTTATTAACACGAGGATGATCGCCGCCGCTGTTGAAACTATCAGCTGCAGCCAGATAATTAACATGGTAATTATCGAAGCACAAAGTATGTATTGATTATCTTGAAAAGTGAAACTCCTGTCACCAAGGACAGCTTGAACAACGCATGCCATCTCCTGAAAGTAAAAGAAAATCAATTCATGCTAACAATGTTTGCTGTGATAAGATTAATTTAAGCTGACATAGGACTGGACTGAAAAAGATTTGATTATGACCAAGTCAAACCTTGACATCAATCGAATATATGGTTAACCTCCGGTTGAGACCCCGTATAGAGGTGTAGAATGGCTGTTTATGTTCAGCGGGTAGCGAAGAAAGAAAATTATGAATTTGCTGTTGAATTCAATTACTTTGTGAGACTACTAAATAACACAGAGAATGTTGGCAGAAATGTGAAGAGAGAGGAAAATTCAGTTGAATAAGTAACTGTTCACCAATCATTCGAATGTTAACTAATCAATAGTTCACATCCACATGCGACTAGGTCAATGAGATGATTACCTCCGGATTAAATAAATTTGGTCAATCAGCTAAAAGTCAACTGGATGTTTCAGGTAGCTACATCTTTCTATCTAGTACGTTTATTAATATTTTTATCCTCCGTGTTCCCAGTAGATCACAGGGCTTTCAAAAAAGAGCTGTGAAGTCTCAGTAGCATTAGGATCGAACACCGGACGAGTGTTTCACTACTCAACCATCAAAGCCATGTGAAACGGAAGCTTACGTGATCGGATGTTCAGCGCCAGCTAGCGCACTGCCTAACCCCGCTTAGATGGTAACAAACCTGCCAAAAAGGAAGGTTGGGCACGAGACTAGCGACCTCACCCCGTGAAAATAGAATCACTACCACCTTAACTGTAACGCTTTAACGTGAAGGCTTATGTTCCATTGGAACGCGAAGGAGTGAAAAGAAAGTTTAGCACCGCCGAATCAAGTACTGCACTGAAATTCAGTAATCACTTATGTTTGTCTATTCTTTCCCTAGAATTCAAACAACACCACAGATGATTCTATTCTCCCAGCTTCATTCACTTCAACACTGAAAGCAGAGATGCATGAAATGGAAAAATAATTACGGCTCAAAGGAACAATCAAAGTAAGTTTTATATCCCTTACACGCGATACCGAGGCATATTGGTGCTGCAAACTAGTCCAGTTGTCTACCTCATTCAATAGATTTCCAAGCATCTTACGCAAAAGCAACTCACTTGATTTCGGAAAGCACGAAATTATTTTTAAATGATAGACAGATAAACTTACCCATATAATTGTGCTCACCATGCCGAAACCACTCAGAATTATGAGTATCTGTGAAGAGAATAAGGAGTGAAATCAGTGATTGACTACGAACTACATACAAAGAGGAATGCGATTTCTTCGTTGTGTCTACCATTTTAGCTAATGTTAAGTGTCAGTTGATTGTCCACCGAGTTAGGTCTATCCGCGATTTCTGTGAGACCTGTTGATGCTAAGCAAAGTATCTTCGCTATTCACAGTTGTGAGTATCAGTCTCACGGCCACTTCAGTGAGGCTATAAAATATCACTTACTCACAACTATGGTCAGCTTTTTAAAGCTTGACGAATAAAATACTTCAAAATGTCACCACATGTCCGTTAGTGATACGGAAAACTATTTTCTTGACCGATTTCACGTTCATGAAATAAACACAATTTTATATTCCTACTGTTTTCTGCTTTGCAAACAACATTCACAAATTCCTGCCGAATATTACTAAGTTCCAGTATGTCACACACATGCCCTACAATCAAATTACGCAAGTTAACGTCGACACTGGTTTAGATATTCCATGTCTACATTTTCACGCTTCTTTTTACTGAAGACAGATCTATCCGCCAACTGGTTTATGGAATCATTTCACTAATCGACGTCATCCGTCGTCGAATTCAGTAGTAGCAGTACGAGGTCTCGGCTAGGCTTTTCGGCAATGGTCTGGTGGAATAGGAAATGAAAGTATGTAATCAGACATAGTGCCATCTAAATATGACTGCATGCAACAAGGTACAGTGGATATGTCCCGGCTAGGCTTAAGGACGAAGGTGAGCCTTTTTTCATGTTCGCCAATTAGTTCAAAGCATAATGACTGCATTATGCACTTAGTTTATTCTAAAATGAAAGAAACGTCGTCATTAATTCCAGCACTGTATGTTACTGCTTCGAGATCAGACGTACTCGATATAATGAAGTAAATTGAATACAGAAGCAATGTGAATATCCTAACGAAACGTCTTCGATATTCTGAGATATGAATAAGCAGAACGATGTGAAAATGAAGACTTCAGAATTCCTTATTCCGCTACACACAAAAAGTGATAACTGCATGATTGGTTACAATACGAAACGAATAATTGTCATTAAAGCTTATAAAATGTCACCACTAAAAGTAGTCACGTCCTTACCAAAAGCAACTCACAGCTGATTACTTACGTCGATCTGTTGGAAATGAATGAAAGGGAAGAATATTACACAATAGAATATTTGCACGAGGAATGTGGTGAATACCAGCTTCCTCAGACTCTTAAGCATATCAAATCTTTGGAAGGCACTGGAAGTCATTGCAATCACTGTGATGACCATGGTAATCATCCATGTGACAGGTATCATCCAGGTTTCCATATTGATCAGTGGTAGAGCAGCGACAAATGAAATGATGATTGTCTGAAGAGGTAAACATTAAGAAAGTAGAAATGACGTAGAGTAGTATGTAGGATTTATTCGTGAAAGTTAAATGTATGTGGCAAACGTTCTTAAGATGCTGAATAGATTCTTCTTAAAGTTCTAAGCTAGATATTTGAATTCGTATCCACTTTCAAACAGTTATTCGAGAAGGTGTATGTATGCATATGCATGATATCTGTTTGCATTGTAAGTACCAATAGACCAACCTATACATAAACTGATGGAGATTGTGCGTTGGAACCAGTGGTGACAATTCATTCGAGTGTTCCCCTCAGGTATCAGCTTCCTTTCAATATATATTGTTATGCACTCAATGAGTGGATGTATCACTCGCCGTTTCATGTGACTTATTTCTCGATATTCCATTTGCTGAATAAAGTTCATCACGAATAACTTCAGTTTATTTTTCGAAATTCCGAAGATCTTATGAATCAATGGATGATGCTATTGAACACTCACGCGGCTTGTTTTGGTTGATATATTTTCCCATATTACTGAAATATCGTCAATTTTACTTCCTGTGTGAAAATGCATGAATGAGCTGTTTCAGCTTCATTTCTGTTCAGCCAAGTGTTAGGAGGATATTGTGTAATTTGTGCTTGGATTTATTAGGAAGAGGACAATGTAAACATTTGTTATACATTTAGATATTTAGATATAAAAAAATCAAATATTAAGACACTTAGGTACTGCGAAACGTACTCCACTTACAGAAGTTGTCAAGATGATGTAATTGAAAGGATACACGAACTGCACTTGTGGTCTTAAAAGTATCTGCAGTTGAATAATCGTCCCTAGACATCTGAATTGACATAGGGGAAAGAAACGAGAATAATAGGGATCGCAATTAATCAGATCATTATTTATTTGATGAGCGAAACTGAGATCCCTGATAACTGTACCGATTAGATATGAGCATAAAAGTACCTGTGCGTCAGTGGCTCACCGATTAGGACGTTCGCCAACCATGAACATGGTCCGGGGTTCAATCCTTCAAGCACCTCTTAGCCAGAAATAATGTTGGTAAAGAGGACAGGTTTGGCAGAAGGCTAGCAACCCCATCCTGTAAAATTAAACACTGATACAGAGACTTCAAGGCACTAGCTTGAGGCCCTATATTCCAATGGGAACGTGAAGGAAAAAAGAAAAAATACAAGGACCTAGTCTGTGTTGTTTCCCTTTGATTTTGCTATCATGGAAGACGGATAACGATGTCATATGGTAGTGAGAAACACTTCTATGAAACATCCACTTGTAATATCTTCGCCTGCCTTAGCCTTTCCTAACCTTTTGTACGAAGACTGTCGACTACAACACAAGACTGATTTCTATACATAGATCGGAAATTTAGTGGAGTAATGGTGATCACCATCAATTCGATAAACGAGAAGCTCAACACCTACAGCTCTACTGTTGACAACAAGTTATTCTCTATCTTCGTTGAGATATAAACGCTTAGAATACAACTCATTACGTTATTCAGAATAATTAAGAAAAGATATCAAAATAGGACTGACAATGAATGTGTCACACATACCCACTCAGCCAGGGGAACCAGCGAGATTCTATCATCCATTGCTTAAGCTTTGGACTTCGAAGCATAAAATTAACAACAAGTATGCGTGTAACTTACATAAGCAGTACTACAGCGGAAATCTCCCATACAAATGAAATCTGAAACATGACTATGAAAAAAATCTTTGAATAATTAGGGAAGCGATGAATGAACAGCCTTCAAAATTCATCGATTACCTCCCACACAAATTGTCTTCTGCTCTTTTGAAAAGGCACCTGATTGATAGTTATTAAGTTAATTATAAGTCATTCAACTGATGAACATACTTTTATTCCGTTGTTTGAATTCACTGAATCTTCTATTGCAGACAGTTCACCCAAGGACAGTGGAATGATTTTGACGTTTGACAGATCCCATTTTCAAATGATTCATGATAAATTGAAAAGAAAGGAAAAGGATTCGGGGTTACCAGATATAGGAGGAGATTTATTAGTGACTTAACTTTCCGAAAGGTGGAAGACCTCCATTTATTGTGCTTCATATTGTTTGGATATTTGAGAAATTTGGTACTTAGAAGTTATCTCGTCGCTAAAATTGTGACTACAGAGAATATCTAAACTGCTTTTTCAGCTATCTCCTTATGGTCATCGTATTTATTTCGGTTTTTACGTAGAGATGTATGTCAAACGTTATCACCACCGTTTATGTTGTTCCGCTGTATGTGACTAAAGCAAAACTCACGTAGCGTCAACATGCATCTCACAGCATCGATTGATACGTCTATGGAAGTCATATCTCTTATTGTGGTATTCAAAATGCTTCACATTTTGGTGTCATGATGACAAGAATGGTTTCTACCAACTTTCAGTCAATTGCAGATAGCTACTTATCGAGTGTCAGCAACGTTGACTAGCGCCACATTCATATTTGAAGCTACAATCACCTAACATAATAGTGATGAAGATTGGCGTACATTCCTGATGCATGAGATTGGTTGTTGTTGAGGAAGGACAAAACACTCCATAAGATATAACATGATTACACAAGTTCCAGGATACTGGTCTGATAGACAAAATATCATTTCTAATTATACCGTGTACAGTTCGATTTTGAAATGGTGTTTCTCGGTTGGTGACGTTGAATTAGGCTTTTAGGTTAAGAAATATGAAAAGTGTTCACTTTTTTGAGGACATGACGAATACATCCTCTTGGAATTCAGACACCAGCTCACCCTTTTTTGTTTAAGTATTCCAGAGCATATTTTGTCCTCACTGATATAATAATAGTCAAGGTTGTCTCAGTGTGAATGTCAATGGAGATATTAAAAATATTGATAATCTAAAATATCAGGCGAATATTATCCTTCCTCTAAGTCTATGAGACATTTCATCATCCATATTATACCGTGTAACATGGGATATTGAATACTTCTTAGAATGAAAATATCTATATTTACCGATGCGAAAAAACTAAGTGTATGTATGATTCCAACCAAGCGGGATCCTTTGAAAGTGTCTCATTAGGATACCAGTCACTGCAAATAAAATGACTGACTGTAAAACGTTAAAAAATTCATTCGAAAACCAATAAAGCTTTACATTTCTGGAGGACATATCGAGGAAGTCATACACTTGTGAATCGTAACCCTCGGAATGCTGAGTTGAAATGAAACACGAAATGCTGCCACATAAAGTATGTCATCGTAACGAGTAGTAGCATCTAAGCTTTACAAATATCAGTCCATTGAGTGAGGCTCAGCAGTTTATGTTGTCAACTGTATGACAGAATTTCAGATATAAGAAATAAAAGTATGTTGGCTGAAACAGATGGAACTTACCCTCTTTTGATGAACCCATCATTGACAAAGGCAGACAATTCCCAGAAATCGGAGAAGCAAAGTGTGCACCAAGTGTGCTACGTGACAAAAAACAGGTGAAAATCTATCTGAGTTAATTTATATGTGAGCAAAATTGTTGTTAATTTCGATAAATCAGAATAATGAACTTTGTTTGATACGAATAAAATAACTCTCAGAAAAATCTGTTAGACACAAATGAACAGGTAATCACACAATTTGAAAACAACTGTTAGATAAGAATACAAGTAAAGAAGTAAAGATGATTTTGAGCAAACAGTATTGTATTCGATTAATTCTTTATTAGACTCTATAGTAGAAAGTCCATAGATCAATTTTAATACAAAAACAACCATTAAAAGCAAGTGAGATTTGAATTGGAAACTGTGTTGTTGGAGTACATGTATCATATGGATTGATAGTTTGTGATTTAATATTGTCATATGAACGTTTATTTTTAAAGTGTCCAGCTATTCAGAATATAAGATAAAGTGTGAATACACAGCTGGCTCGCATGCTGATTTATTCATAGTCAACGGAATAAAAGTTTCAATAGGGTTTGGGAGTGAGTTATATTCATTGGTAAGGGAGTAAATGATTACCGCTCGCATAAACACATACAAACAAATGCCGAAAATCCGGGAACACTGAATGTAAATCGAAGCAAAGACTGACAGATTACAAGTGTACTGATGAAACAGATAGTTTCAATTGTGAACTGTTATTAAATACTAGAGAGATAATAAGCTTTAGTGTAAATTACAAAAGGCTGACACATCATAAGGTGATGGAACAAAGTGAACTAGGTGGGAAGGAACAAGAAGGCATGATATAACTGGGAAATATGGATGACTTTATCCCTACTGATCTTATATTAAGCCAGGGTAAACAGAGAGGATGAATGTGATTCTTTTGTACACAGAGGCTAGGTGTTTCCTTACTAATTTTTATAGCATCCGCTAGAGATAAGATACGTTATCATGTGCGGTGAAGTAGACTGCTTGGTACTCAATATTCAGCCATAAATGACTCATCTATTTGAATGAGATGTTCACTATATCCTAGATGAGACAAAATGGCACTATTCATTTGTTTTCTTTTACACGTTTTCCAAGCAGAACAGCAGTACGTTCACGAGCACGCAAACGTGAATTCCTCTGAGTATGTAACTACCTCCATTTGATGTGGCCATCTTTGGTAATTTACCTTTGTTGCACTGTTTCAGTAACAGTCTATCATAGAAATTGATATATATTTCTGCAGCAATGACAGATCTTTCAAATGATCAAGTAAGGTTATTAAGAGACGTACGAAAAATAAAATTCTTCAAAAGCATCTGAAACCTCTATTCACATGAATCAAATAGCGCAATTCAGTGGAACTTATATCAACTTACAGAGATCCGAAGTCATAAGAACTGATTTTAGGGTTACAACCACTTGGAAAACGACAAGCATCGACCAATGACCTCACCCAGAAAAAAATTAACCTGCTGCATTAACACAGCTTGACAAGCTTTTCAGGTCATTACAAAGGCAAATGAAGAGTCCAAAGAGTGGAGGGTAATATGATTGATTGTTCCAGTTTAGACACTGGGAGCTGCGAACAGGGTCATATTTTGAAATGAGTACCTAACTGGAAGATTGGAATAAAACTCAGGGGACTTGTAATTGTAAGTAAAATTCGGATTCAAGTGTTTTCAAGTGTTTGATTGTCTCTTCACATGCCTAACTTATAACCAGTAAGATCAAGGTATTCTCTCGGTATTATTGTGAACTGGAAAAGGATAAGACTATTTATTATTGAAGCTATCAACTTTCAAAGTCGTTTCTCATAATACCAGGAAGAAAGATGCAAAAAGGTGAAAAATTGAAGTCATTCAAATGAGTTTACTCTTCCTCAAATCAATTAATGAATAGGTTTACCCAACTTGTCGTGCGCTTCAATAATGCATAAATGATGTGGTGTTTGCACTATTTCAGACGGTATAAATGAGCATTTGATTAAATGAAATCAGGCGCTTATATAATGTCAGTGACTGACTAAGTCAATTAAAAGTGTTATGTTTCATCTTCAAGATGGCGAGCACATGTGTGTCAATCTACACGACATTCATTGCAGTGTTCGCCGTATTAGTTGAGCTGCACAGCAAAGATGTGGCGAAATTTACTTAGCTGCAGAGTGAATGTACTACAAAATTAAACCATGTTTTTCGCCATAGCAACCTCATAGTACTTGAAATCAGAAGTTTGATGTGCAGCTGTTGGAATGAAACTTCACAGCCTCCAGTCATCGAGAGAAATGGAGAAAAACTGAATTTTCCTTTAGCTGAGGCAGTCCTACAGCTTCTATATTTTCTCATGATTTTGATTGACTGTGCTTCTCTCTGTATTTTGTTCCTTGATCCGTAGCTTGTGTCTTTTGTGTACACCTGGCACCAGCATGCGTTAGTCAGCAGGTAGGCTAAAGTTGTCTTGACATTCAACCTAAAGTTTACTACGTGGAAAGACATGCATAACTATGCAAAGTGGGACAAGTCAACGAATTTCAAAATACCTAAAAAAACAGAGAAAATCATTAAGGTTTTAGTAAAATAACTGGTGCAGTGGAACCGAGTAATTGTCGTTGAAATGTAGAAACATTCTGCAAAGTAAGTCTTTTGCATAAGATGAAAAATCAGGCCCTAAGGAATATCAGAGTAAGTTGATTTCTTCAAGTTTGGTTTACTCTATTAGTGGATCTAAAAAGTGATTAGGAGTTACATTTATGTATTAGTAAGGAATGACAAATTGTCAGCATAGTTAATCAGTGGAAAGTAGTTATGAATGACTAGGGAGAGATCCGATGTTAAATTCCAGATACGTAGGACTCTGGGGATATTCATTATGTTTACATTGTACTATTTATTGACTACATTTGATGGAATAGAGGGTTGTGTTACTGTTCTGTAACTTGATTAAGAAGTGAGCACACCAGATAATCAGGGAGAGGCATGAACAAGAAGGATGGCAGTGGGTACGTTTTATGCTCTTAATAATCGAAATTCATACTGACTGTAGAATTAATAGTGTGTAAGTCTAAGATGCAACTGATTTACTCACTTGCATTACGACAAACGCAACTATCAAAATAAGTGAAATGCCTATAACATTCAGTCAACCTATTGCCTATACTTGAATCAATATATGATGAGTGGTAGTTGTGGGACGTCATCCTTCGTTTCACACATGCGAGACGAACACTTTAAGATTTCACCATGCGGTATTCAGTACACTCTCAATTTTGTCTACAGACACGCCAGTAAAATTGTATAATCTGGGTACATCAAATCACTGAACTATTTTTTCTTCACAAGTGAAGTCAGTCAGCGTCACATCCAGCATTATATCTTCAGTGACTTGAAAGGTAATGAGAAGCATCCCTGATGGAGAAAACCGGTAGTTGTCACCTCAGATAGTATCTCTTTATAAGCACTTGCATGATTACATTTCATCAGTATACTGAGATGATTGGAAAACTGTCATTCTACAGCACTCTACGGAAGGTAAGATGTTGGATGGCAATCTCTTGATCAGCAAAATCGAATCCCATTCTCGGGTAAATCCACACAGGTGGTGATAATATATTTTTTGAGAAAATGTGTTCTTATATTCTATGGAGACAATTAATCATCTAGTCTGACTCCTATTTAGGTCAAACTGCTCAAAATCAGTCGAATGAGCTGAGGAGAAATTAGGCAGAAATGCAAGAGACATAGTCTCAGCAACCAACCACCATCATCCTTAAAATTCATAACTGAAGTGAACCTTCTAAAAGGTAGCGCCTCGACGATGTCATAAGTGACCAACATTGGTTTAAGCTAAAACAGTTGAATGTTAGTCAACCACTCCACAATCTTCCAGCCCTGTATTGTATTGTGCAGAAGTGAAAGTAATAAATACACAAGAACACCAAGAGGGCCTTCGAATGTGTTAGAATGTTTCATTATGCTCTGTCATTGCAGAGAGAACCAATGACACCAACCAGATTTTAATGCATTCCATGCGTGATTCTGTGGAGACACCTGAGGAGTTTATTGAACATTGGGTTTCATTGCCGACCGATTTAATCTCTTGGATTACTATCTGAATTACCATACGGTCCATAATTACAACCTGATGGGCTAGAAAGGATGATCAGTTGTAGAATATTCTTGTCGCATGGTAATGATTAAACGCCTACATGGTTTAAGAAATGTTAATGAAATAATCTAGGTGATGATATTTTGAAATGTGCTCAATCAGTTTACAGTTACTGTGCAAATTTTATAGAAAAACAGCTACCATTAGTCACAAGCCGTACGAACAAACATAACAACTAGCCGCAAATAATATACCGTATAAATTTCCTAAAAGCACAGGCAGTAGCAATTGAAGCGTGGAATACTCTAGAGATCACCATGTAGAGGTGACTGCCTACAATTCAGCCATGCATCGGATAGGACCTAAAATTAACTCAACTGATATAGCGAGTCATCCCTCGATTAAAGTGACACATGATATATTATTACCACCAGGATGAACATTTCTGTCGTCAGTGTTTATCTGTGTGGCCTATGATGCTGAGAGGTGATAAGAAATTAGTACAGGTAGTCAGTCTGCAGATAGGTTATATTGCCCACCTGTAGGAAACCCTAGTCCCAGGATTACTATAAGTGACCACCACATCAACACGCATCAAATCTAGCGACATGATTGAAGCTGAAAAAAGTCGCATCATTATCGTCTATATCATAATTTCATCATCATAGTGCACGTATAAGACGATAAAATCCAATAATAAATGTTAAACTTATTTAACTGCAAAAGATAAATGAAAATCCGCCTGAGTCAACTTGAATCAACTTAAAAATTGATGTGGATAAATTCAGGTCATGGATTTGGATACTGAATAAACAATAAGAAAAAATAACATTCAAGACTATTGAATTCGAAAGTACACTATTAAAAACATTGTCTCGAGAGAGAGTCAGGTGATAAAGTCCAATTACATTTCAGTGCTTGATTCCGACTGAGTTAAATATTGATTAAGTGGATTCGTTACACAAGCACTGAAGTAGCTTAAATGGACATTTTGTCTTTCACTCATTCAGCGCTCCCTTTTAATATAAAAATCGTAGTAATAACTTCATTCCAAGTAATACTCTTGATACAAACATGGAATGTTCATCATTTCCGACCGTGGAAAATGGTCAGTGGCTCAGTGGAATTGAATGCTTGTCTCTGCATACGCAGTCCTTCAGAATCTCAGATATGGATTCAATTTCAATTTTGAATTTCGTGTAAGTTACTCTTTCGGTAAGATTTGAATACTTTTAGAATTTCGCTTGAATTTTATATTTTTTCCTCACCATTGAATTGATCATATTCACGTGCCACGACTCTCTGTAGGATTAGGTGAGTCAGGCAAGGAATGCGGATTCATCCTGTTTATTCAGATGAAGAGAAACCGTGAACTATCTTTTACTAACACAGCTCCACAGCCAAACACGCCTGATTTGAAGTCGGTTAAGATTTCAAGTCTCTGAAAATCGATGGTTCGCCAGGGTCAGTCGTTGTTGTTGTCTTGACCACTCTGAGTGTGGTTATACGTAGACTTCATCTCTTCTTGACTGTGCGTCTTCCGCTAGATACCATAGACATCGTGACATATGAATTATCTGTTCAGCTCAAACACAAATTCCCCAAATCAGTTATCATATGTGCTAATATATGCACCTATTACCATCCAAGTAATGAGCTGCGTACTACATATTCAGTCCTAAAATCAATTAGGTACACCAATAAGGCAAAGTGTATATGGCATCCTCGATTCGAGAAAATCATTCTCTCCAACTTGTCTCTCCAAATAAGTGACTTTCCAGTTCAACTGACTCATTACACACCAATGTTCACCTATCAGTTCTCAATATGAAGAATGCAGAAGTACTGTTATGATAGTACAACTCTGAAATAAGTGAACGGCAAATCTATGAGGCTGTAAACAGACGCTTTAATGAAGAGTTTGAATTCTATATGTATCCTATTTCTCTCACTGTTCGTTTTTCAATTCAAGAAGTAGAACAGGAGATCAGTTCGACCCATAGACTGAAATTCGTTATTCTTCTCACACTCCCACCCTAGTTACTTATTTGCCATTTTGATTGTCTACAACAGAATATTTCTTTTCATATAGTGTTCCGTTTCTCACACTCATCGTTGATGAGTATGGTTAAGCAACTCCTTGGTGGCTGATGTTGGCCAATGGTTCTCCAACTGCCATCATGCCATGGTAGTTCAATTCTGGTCTGTTTAGGAACATTATTCTAAGTTCCTAATAATTCCAAAAACGCTCCGAATCGACTACCACTAAGCACAGATATCGAATTTAATTCCAAAACACAATGAATGACAAGAAATGGTATTCTTCGATTATTTAAATCAATATTCAATATATACACTCAGTACAACTAAGTATATAAACAAATGTTTTACAAGAAATCTATTATACTTTTATTCGCATTCTTTCATCTTCTTGTAAACTGTGCATGATTGAATCATTCGCGCCTTCACGTTGCCCGCTAATGGGGACCAAGGCCAATGAACAAACGTTCAGTGTTCGTAATCATTGACAGTCAGAGTGAAACCAACGCCATGTTGATTAGGTTCTTTAGTGCAACTATTATTGTACCTGTTATCGGATACAGATTATAATCATTCAGTTTATGCACGCTTTCTTATGGTTCGTCCATCCAACTAACTTCATTCATCAACATCAGTTCAGAATACTCATTCATTGCCAAGATCAATATTTGGAAATAGCCAGATTTCATCGAATCACTTCAATATTGGCTGCTTTTCTTTATTCTCCCCACCTCCCACAGACAATAATCGTTGCCTTTGCTACAGCTGTTCCACTCATCAACTTACAATTCTGGTGGGCACTTGTCACATGGATAATAACTGTGGTTATTGCGGGGATTGTAGTAGCTGTCAGTGTCGTCAACAGATTCGATGTACTCGAAGGTTTTGGGGAGTTCATACTTGTCACTTTCATTGTGGAATTAGCCTTTGTTATAATATTCTTCCCTTTCATATTCTGGCGAGAATTTGATGTAAGTAATCAGATGAAACTGTTAATTGGTCTTAATTAAAAATTATCTGCCAGTAATGAAATATGGTAAAAGATTTTGATACAGCGTACTGACTTTTAGTAATTCAAGAGGAGAAAATATAATGGGCTCGAAGCTAGGCACATGCCGTTTACGGATACACAGATTCATCCATCAAGCTGCCTTAAGTCAATTTATTGTCAACAGCTACAAGTAAATAAGTATCAAGGGTTACATTTCGTTCTTTCAAGCCACCATTTTCAATTAAGCGTAAGCAAACACATCAATATTCCAGGGATACTGAAATTCACATTAAAATTTTAACGCGGCATTAGTCACATAACACAAGTTGCTCCTTTCCTCAGGATAACTAACAATTGGGGAAGAATTAAATCGCTTTCTGTATGTTCACCGACAAAATTCAACAACTGTTTACCAGAACCTGAAGGAAAACGATGTCAATGAAATGACTGCTTCGTTACTGGCCAATATAACTTTAGCTTTAACTTAATGTGATTTCACCATAGACTAAAACATTGCTACACTCAGATTTATCTCCCGTCAACAAGACACATTTTCCCTTCTCACATCTGACTATGGAATTTTCTAAATATCAGAGAAATCACTGCAATGTTGAGATAAAATTTTATGTTATGTTTTCATAAATATCCTCACCAGAGGTAGCATTTTCTGTAATGATTGACTCTGTTTTGTAATTATTAGTTGTGCAAATTATTAGGGAGGATAGAAAGGAGCACTAGAAACAGAATCACGGTTTACTTCAAATATTCACCACTAGAGCAGAATGAGTTATGAGAAGGTTCAGTTTTCTGATATGGAATTGCAGAAGATTTACTGAGACACTGAGATTCCAATATGTCCGTAAGAGTCATATACATGTGTATTATATTGTTATCACTTGCACCTGTTCGCTCGGATATTCCACATTTTTTAAATATGTATTAATATTTGTGAATGACTGATGAAGTAAGATTAGGCCAGTGATAAGATGTCGTGCTTTCACCTTCCGATCAATGTTATGAATGGTATTAGGAATTTTATCAGTTGGTCGATACTTCATAGTTTATTCGAAAATACCAAGATGTTTATATATAAACTGGACACGAATAAGCCTCAACACGACTGTCTTTCATTTTCAGGAGATAGCTTTGATTGTTCAAGCACTTCTAGGTGATAGACGATTCACATTTCGAAATGATCAACATGTACTCTGTGGATCGATAATTGGCATGTTAATTATCTGGCTGCATTTGCTTGTTTCAACGGAGGTGGCCACATTCAACGTGTCAATAAATCGCACAAGGGAAGACGATAGTTTTTCTCTATATGACACATATGCAAATAAATGTTTGGAATTATAACAAAATAATTTGATGACAAATTTCAATGTACTTCTTACTTTTTAAAATTCAATAAAATCGATAATATGTTCCTGATTCTCATTTATTTCAACACAAATGTCAAATATCAAACATCAGTAGCAAATCATCAATCTGACATTCGGTGCATGAACAGAGTGGAGGAGAAAGCACAAAGCGCGAGACATACGTGCAGGTATTTCTGTCAGTTACTTGCAATCCACTAAAATTAGTTCAAACGTTATTACGACAGATAGGGTCCCACCTTGACTGATACGTTACATCCACCACATAGAAGTAGACACTGACTATTGGTCAACCAATCACGGAATGGCATCCTAGTGCAGATAAGAAATCATCAACTATTCTCCATGTGTCTTGTATTATTATCACAAGAAGGTATTATTGATAAGGAAATTGTAGAACAGTGAGAAAGTGATTCAACTGAATGTTGGTAATATAATGAAACAAATATGTAATTTTTGAGTTCATTGGTGAATTAATCAGTAGAAATAAGTTGAGGTGGCTATCCTTGAAGGATAATACTAGAATTCCTTGGAATCTTGCATTATCACAATTCAGAGATGAAATAATGTTATGTTATGCAAGCCATTTCGAAAATTGGAATTACGTGTGATAAGCTCTCTGATCATTCAATTATCAAAGGAATAACCAGTTGATTTTCTATCTAAACAAAACACACGAATATAAGTAGATAAAACATTCATCCTTTTTATGGATAAAACAACAGATCGCATTTGTAATCTTTGATACTTCAGTTCTTTTGAAGATGATTCCCTCATTTCGTACTTTGTCTCAAGAAATCAGCTATTTTATTTGAATAAAATTAAACAGTTTGCAGGCACTTGAATCAAACATCAAAGCAGTGTAAAACAAAGGCGTTAAGATGAGCCGCACAAGTCCATTACCTATAACATCCACTTGACAAATGTGGTATTCGATTGTATGAAAATTATTGAAAAAATATAATGAAATCTTTAATCTGAATAATGCGTTTATACGTGTTATTGAATTTCCAGTTTATATCTACTTACTACTCATATAGGAGTTTTCAGTAGACTATTCGTCTACTGTGTATCACTCGATGGAGTATTGTTGATTTGGAAATATGAACAAACACTCGACTGTTTTTTCGCTTGAAAAACATGCTCAGGCGTTTAATGAAAGCTATGTTAAAATAATTTTTGGCACAGGCTGTTCTTCAATCACACAATTAGCCACAATCAAGTAACTTTGACGCAAATGTTCTAAGGGAGATTACGTGATTCGATGATTTCTACGAGTCGCTCATTGATGAGGTGAAATATGTTTATCTTGGACTGAATACAATACAGATTTATATGACTGCAATGACCTCTGAGTACTTGGTAATTGTATTTGAAAGGTATGGTTCCTACAGAAGAATGGAAGTATATATTACACCGTTGACTGCGTATCCATTCGTCCACTTGATTGTGGAATCGAGAGGTTGGCTGATTAAGGTAAACTTGACAGACTTTCTTGTGAATATTTTTAATGAATCAGTCACAGATTCTTCATTAGGTGAATGGATGAGAGGTTGAATATCCATTTGTTTTATATGAAACATTGATCTAAGAGTAACTTGCAATCAATTATCATGTGGCCTGGAATATGTTTAAGAGCTGAAACGTGTAAGCGTCATATAACGTGTTTCAAATGGTCCCTGAATAAGCGATATGTCATTGGAATTTCCAGACATTATTGATGGTCAATGTACAGATAACCTACTGGAGAGATATCAAGTTCGACATGTTTGTATTACGTGGATGAGACATTTCAGGATGGCATGAACAGACCAGTTTTAGTCACCTTGTTTGTTTCATCTTACTCTGAAATTTGTTTCTGGGTGCGTGAATTGGACCAAAATGCTTTCAGCTGATTACCTACATCAGCCGAGAGCATTACCAACCTTTCATTGGAAAACTAGCCTGATTATTTATACCTATTTACACCTAATGTGGGATCTACTTTGATATTATGACTGATATTACAACTGTTGGTGCCCCAGGTATCCCACGTTTTCGTTTCATAACTTAATTGTTGAATGATTTTCCCTTCCGAAATCGGTCGAAAATGGCGTCAGTTAACAGTTATTTGATTAATTTATTGCCATAAATTATTTTTCTCGTATTCTCTTATGTTCGTCGAGCATTATCCATGAATCAGATTCATGAAGTGTACAAATGAATTCTAAACTTTCTGAAAAGAAAAGCATGAGATAGCGATCTCCCGAAATTCCCCATCAACAAATTGAATTCTTCATTAGAAATTCACTTCAGAACCACATTTTTCGAGTACATATTAGAAGTAGTTGACTCTTATTATTTACGCCTCCTTCTTTTACATTACTTTGATGTTAAATCTAAGTGTCGATAAGCCTTTTTGATATTAATACCGACACAATGACTAACTCCATATGACAAAGTACCAAAGGAGGAGATTATCATCAAAGAAACCGAAGTAACAACAAGATAGATAAGATTTATTCTTTCATTCATTGAAAATGTTTTAATTTTCAAAACAAATTGGAATCTACCCTCCAAAGTTGTGCCTTATTTCAACAGTCAGAGAGCACTCACTTCTCACACTTAACTAAAAATGTGTCTAATTTTCAACGTGTTCTACCGCATTAGGCTCGACTATATTCCGTGGTTCGGTCTCATATTTGATAAGTAATCACACACAGGCATGGATTGGCGTCATTGATAATTCTGATCTCATTGAAACAAAATATTTCGCATGACTGTCTTTATGAAAGCACCATCAGCCTGCACCATTTCGTCTCTCTCATTCCAGCAAAGAACAGGATTATTATGTGTTTGAAGCTTGTGTCATCGGAAATCATTTCCAACAACCCGCTGTACACTTCATCAACACAAGCCTCTATCTGCTACGGAGGAACAGTTGAGCCCAATAAAAGTGGAATTCGACTTTACAAAATGTTAACCTCATACCTTTTTACAACACAGGTTGTTGTAAACGTTTTGCCATAACGCGGATAACCGCCAGTCCATCAATCACAACGATTCATGAACTAGTATTGTAACAACAGGTGACAAGAGGCAGGCAAAAGATCATCTATGTGCTAACTGTATCTGCCTACGCAAAGCCTGCTGTGGTGGGTTGTTGAATCAGGCGTTGTTCTTACTTTTCTCACGACAGAAATTGGCGACGTAAACATTGACGTAAATTACTGCCTACCAAGGTGGCTAGCAGCCAGCTCTCACCACATTATGAAGCTATTACAGATGATTGACAGTAATTCCCTTCATTTAGATCTTGTACTTACTGATTTCTTGCCGACTCAAAATCCAAAATTCATGACTACGCAGTTCCTACTCATTCTCATTACTTGAGGATCAAAAATAGTCTCACTTGTATTGCATTTTTTAATGTAGTACAATAGAAAAAGTAAAATTGATAATACAGTCATTTAAAACTATTCCAGATGTCTATCCACAGATCATCCTATTGGGGAAGGAGCTGGTGTTTGCTGCTTAGGACTGAACAACACGTGGAAGATGGCCACCTCCGTTGAAACGAGCAAATGTAGCCAGATAATTAACATGCCAATTATCAGTCCACCGAGTACGTGTTGATCATTTCGGAATGTGAATCGTCTATCACCAAGTAGTGCTTGAACAATGATACCTATCTCCTGAAAGTGAAATGAAGGAATGATGAAACTTATTAGTGTCCAGTATGTTTTCAGGCAGTACAAATGCATGTGAATTCGTGAACGGAAATAAGTAATATACTTAAGTTATGTGAATAGACCATGAAAGTCCAATCATATCATAGGATTTCTAATGACGATAAGGAAATAGTTTCAACTAACATGGAGATTTAGTTAGCCGACCCGTTTTATGTCTCCGACAGACAGGTGTCAAAATTATGCAGACGGTTGAAATTTGAGTAAAATTCATCCTCTTGATTACATGATTAGTCCCTACACCAAAAATACAGAACCATTAAGAACTGAAGACATTTCAGTGGGACAACAGCGTACATTTATCTCTCATAAATAATATTCGAGAGCAGAACTCAGTGAGTCAGTTAATTCAGAAGTACAGTTTCAACTTCACTTATCTACTTCGTTCAGTGTCGCTTCGTATTCTCGGTAGACTAACAGCAGGTGTTATTTCAAGAAGTGCAAATCCGTTTTTAAATGATCGATTGATAAACATACCGAAATAACTGTCCATATCATGGCGAATCCACACAGCATGATGAGTATCTGTCAAGAGAATGGGAGGTGAAATCAACGATTTAGTTCAAACGACACAAATATAGAATTATATTTTCTTCATTGTGACCATTAATTTAAATGACCGTCTAATTTCTGTTATTAATTTACTGCGCTTGGCGTAATGACGCATTATACCAATCTGACTAATTGTGGAATGGCTATCTGCAGTATGCAGGAATCTCAATTACAGCCTCAGTGTAATTCATATTCCTGCAACTAACAGCTCGAATTGATGACGTTCTCTAGGAGACTGAAACTTGTTTGCTAATTAAGTTTCAAAATATTTTCGCCATTTATGAGAAACTTGCTCAGTCTGGATAACAGCAGTAGTAGATTGTCGACATTCCAGGTAAGCAATTGAAGAGTTTGATTTCATGCTCCCACTCTTCCAAATTACTAACAATTCTCCATCATACCTTCTTAACTCTTCTGTCATCTGGCTTGAGATAAGAGCCTCCAACATTGTGTGGAAATACCAAGTGTCCAATAAGAGTCTCGATGTCATCCAAGCAAAGCACATTAGTTGGCTGACGTTCCGGAGGCCTACACTAGACGGTAAAAGAACTTTATTTCAGCAAAGTTTAAGTATGCTGCTTTTCTGCCTTAAAGTGTCAATAGTGACAGTGATGTTTTATGCACAGAAAGGTCGTCAGCTATGCCGCCTCTGTTCCGTCTATTCCTGGCCTATCTTGTGGTTAGTAAACTATGTGTCTCTGTCACATATCCTCAACAGCAGATGAAATTTCACGATAACCAATTTAAAGTTCATCTGACCACTTACATCGTATTCTTCAAAATAAATGAAAGGGAAGAATACCACACAAAAGAATAATTCAACAACGAATGTGGCAAGTATGAAAGGACCAAAACTTATGAGTAAATCGAATCTCCCAAGAACACTGACGGCCACAACAATTCCTGCAATAATCATGGTAATAATCCATGTGACAAATGTCCACCAGATTTCTACATCGATAAGCGGTACAGATGCGGGAAAGGCGATGATTATTGTCTGTGGGGGAAAGAGGAATAGAGATAAATAATGACTCACTTAAATACGAGTGATATGAAAATAGTTTTTTTAAATGAATATATATTCTGAACTGATGTTGCATGGCTGAAATGTTAAGGCAGGAAGCGATGAATCTTCTCGAATAAGTCAATAGTGATTTATCAAGTACTTTCGTATAAAGTTATTGAGGTAGATATCTTGTTTGAAATAGCGCTAATAATTCTTTGAAATTGTTTCATCCAGCATCTGTTTCAATTTCTTTAATATTGTATCACATCTTTTGAAATGTCGTCGTTAAGGAGACGCATTTCTCTTCCTCTTCGAACCTGTTCGCCCTTAAATACTCCACTTTTGTAGCTGAATGATTTGTTTCTGGTGAGTGTTGAGAGTTATAATAGTAGTATCAATTACCTAATTGTCATCGTTTTCGTTCGTTATTCCACTCAGCTGGGAATGTTAATTCTACTTCATCACGATTTACTTCATATCAGAACTGAACTGTTTGAATCTCGAATGAAATCGAGGCTTCTTCCTCCGAAACAGTCAAACGATTCCTTGGAGATGATGTGACGACTAGTATGTTCGAGTCACATCATTCCATCTCCCGGTTGAATATTTATGATGCGCGAGTTTCAACTTAGTCGCTTACTGAATTTACTTAGTCGCATTACTGAATTTACCGCGTTCATAAAAATAAATGAGAATGATGACACGAGGTGCACTCACAGTTACTATCAAGTACATATAATTGTAGGGGAACGCGAATTGTAATTGTGGTATAAGCAGCATTTCCAGTTGCAGAAGTGTCCCCAGAATTCTATATCGACACAAACAAAAGAAATAAAAGTTATGAAGATGGCGATTCTCTAGATCAATTTGTAGTGGATGAGGAGGAGGGCGGATAATAGACATCCCCTGAAATTTCGTCGATTAAATATGTAATGACCACTACCAAGGTGGTCCAACTACACTCAGTTATGTAATTCGAATGATGAATACAAGAGTAATACTGACAATAAGTACAATTCATTCACATAAATCTGAAGTATTAAATTAGGATTAAGATGCCGAAATGAAACACTCAGCAGTACAAGTATTCTTAGTTATCAGTGTGATTCAGCCTTGCGTGCAGCCTTCGTGGATTATCAGTATTTATTTTATTATGTCTACAACTCGAACCTCGTAGAATCATGTTGTCTGTATTAGTGATAAATTACTCAAACGGGAACCACTGCCACTTCACTATTCTAAATCTAAATAGCTAATTCACTGTCCTACTCCCAGCATTATTATCCATAGTGTGCCTAATTATGAGATGGATAATAAATTGGGTGGCATATTTGAAGAGTATGAAAGATATGAGTGTTACACGTACCCGCACGACCAGATAAACCAAGGAGTATTCGACATCCAGTGACGAAGTGTTTCACTTGGGAGCAATCCATTCACAGTACTAGTTATTCAACAAAACATAACTTACGTAAGTAACACGAAAGAACAGATTTCCCACACAATTGCAATCTGGAGTGACACTATGATGAAAGTCTTTGAAAAGTAAACGGTGAAGTGAATACTATGTGGAAAAATGCATCAAATACCTTCCAAATGAACTCCCTGCTCCTGTGTTTAACAGAAAACTGATTGGAGATAGACTTGATTAACTCGGTTATAAGCAATACTAATGAGGAACATACTTCTGTGTTACTTTGTGAATTCATTGGGTCTTGATTTGAAGACAGTTCATCCGTTGAAGAAAATAGAAGAATCGGATTGATAATATTTTTAAGGGAATTATAATATATTGTAAATAGAAGAGGAAGGACAGAAAACGCGATGCTCTCTGACCAAGTAGTTAATTGCTGAGAATCTGTTTACTTCATTTGTGCTGTGTTGTACCACATTAAAGATTTCAGTACACACCTGATGGCATAGCTACTGAACAGAGTGGAGACCACTGAACTGTTCATATCTTTCTCCTTCAACTACAGTGTTTCAAAATCCAAAACGATAACAACATGTAGTGATGCACTCTACACACCTTATTCTTTCTAAACATGTGGATGCTGTCGCCCATGATACGTGTGAAGTGAGCATCTGGTGTTTGTGCAGACCTGTTCATCAGCATCATCATACATTCTACAGTATTCAGTCACATGCCGAAGGTAATGAAACATTGGCTAGTGGTGTGCAGGCGACCAATCATTTTGTTGTCAAGCTCACCAGATTTAACTCTGCTACCTATGTAATCCATATCAACGAGAATTTTCTCCGATATCTCAATAATCTGTCGAACAGTAAAGTAAACCATCAAATCACTTCTACAACCAGCTGTAATGTACATGTACTTCACTACATAATATCACACGGGAATATAACTCCTACGTAGTTGAACGTGTTGATCAGGAGAAATGCAATTTCTCACCAGTTCGTGGGAAGTACGATATCGAAAAAGATTCTTTCGACTGACAGTGTCGAATCTTGACTATAAGGGAAAAATTGTAGCAAGTGTCGAATGATGAGTGGCTATTTTGTATGCGTCAAACAGCTCATTTGAAGTATGCAGATACATTCAAAGACATTCATCGTTTCGGGTATGAAAACTGGGTGACTTTGTTGGTGCTGGTATTCTACAGACAATCTTTGTCTTTTCAGATAACAAATCCATCAGGTTGGTCTGAATTTGGATGCTTAATTTATCATAAGTGGTGATGATTGACAGTCGCCAACCATCTCTTGGGACGAACTTAGAATATTTCTTTTCAGTGGAATTATATATCGCTACTTTCTACATATTCAGAATGTTTACCTTTTATTCAGGATAGAACTGAACTGAGTGCAAATGATTTGCACTTGCTTCATTTGTTGACTTTTAAAACGGTGGATCTGGCGGTATACATATATATACCACTTCCAGGTTAATGAAAGCACTACAATCTGGAGTCCTTTAACGCTTGAAATATTTCAGATTCGTTCTCCCAGATATCAATATTAGCAGAGGTACTCGAAACAATTCGAGAAACAGATAAAGTTGAGGCGTTACAAATTAGCGTAAGTTAATATCCAGCCTCATCACAGTCCCATTATCTTGATTTCGTAAATATCTGTAGTAATGCTGAACAAGTCATGACTCAGTCATAGGACCAATGTCCCTTCAAGAAATTCTTCCCATTCAATAGTGTCGGTGGTCATATGCCTTCCCGTCTTATTTCACTAATATATGAGAATCGATTTCACAATTAGAATTTTCGAATTAACAATGAATGTTGGATGGTTCGTCTCTAAATGTGACAGGTTCAGTGAAGACAGGCCTAAAATTTCAGAAAGCAATTCAGTGATTCACTCATCTCTAGTAATTAGCTTTACGAACTGACATACAAAACCAATACATCATTGAATTTGTGGAGGATATCTTGACCATTCAATCTAATTATGAGTCACATTTCGATGTGGAATGAAGCTTAAACTGTGTTCATTAGATACACCATGTTGTCATGAAACATAAAATGAGGTCACGAGAAGTACGTCATCATAATGAATAGTCTCATGTAAGCATTACAAGTATCAGGGCTAGAAATAAATCTCACCACAATATATTTAGGAGCTTATCATTCAATTATGATATGAAAATAAAAAGACTTACTGTCGTTTGATGAGCTCATCGTCGCGAAATTTGTAGGCACCGCTGACTAACGGCAAAAGGTGTGTGCACTTCATTTTATACATGTCGGTGTAGATGAAAATCATTCAAGGTAAACATGTTTGCTCAAAGGAGATGAATTCGATGAACTTTGATATTGAATAGACAGTCACAAAACACACAACTTCACCGGAGTCAGTTAAATTCGAAAACGGAATGAACACTTGTGAAACTATTGGCAGAGCAGTCACAAATGGATTATCACTAAACTATCGGAAAGCACAAACCACATTATGTAAATATTTCAATGCCCTGGAACCAATCTCAATTATTTAAATACGTCAACACAGTTAGAGGGCTTTGAAAAACGAATAGGCTGTGGACAGGTATTTCATTCGATATCGAAATTCCTCGTCTCTGAAAACTAAGGATTTCAGGAGGGCATGAACTACATGTCTAAACAAATTCATAGCGTTTGAGATACTGAAAGGCGAAAATTACATTCTATTAACTGGATTAGAATGTTTTAGTCATCTTGTGAATGAGACGCTTTACAATGACTACCAACTAATGACGAACCAGTGATGGGCTAGTACTATGATGTCACTAGTGCATCCACAGAATATGCCATTCATCGAATATTGAATCTACTAAAAGGTAACTGATGAGAGGGATAAGACATTTTACAGTGCATCAGATGAACGCTATTTGTTCAATTGTGTGAGAGCAGAAACTATCCTGAGGGATGTTTAAGGTTCCGTCGTTTGAAGCAGTAAGCGACATTATCAGTGCTGGTCGATCACAAACTGACGTCAACCCTTTGACATAAGAATAGTGATTTTCAATGTGGACCAAGTTCGGTTCGAATGAATGAAACTCAGAACGTAGGTCGACAATCACCCACTAATAATATGTTTTTAACCTTGCCTAGTTTAGTAGTTTGACAGTTTTCTAGCCGGTCTCAGGCTTGGATAAAGAGGGGCAGGTTCAGCGATGCGCTAGAGACCCTACACCACAAAATCTATCAACTGCCACAGAGATAAAGAACTGTTGTTCAAAACAGATAATAAGTCAGGTGTAAAAAGTTAAATACTCTGATAAAACTGGAAATGAAAAGACTAAATGTTTTATATAATCAAAGATTTTTGTCATGTAAAACCCCTTCTAATTTGTGGAAACTTTCCAAAGAAATTACTAGCGGTAAGCGATGTACTTCTGTCCCATCTCTTAATGTCGACACTCTTAATAAGTCTTACATACGCTCTTCTGTTGATATCCTTCCTAATGATACAAATCACATAGACAATAATTTCAGTGGTTTTAATACCCTTGATGTGCTTAAAAGTCTCCGGTCTCTTAAGCCTTCTCAAAGCCTTGGTCCTGACGGCATACCTGCCATTGTGTTACTCTCTTACAAACATTTTTAATCCTTCTTTTTCCGGCAACGTTCTACCTTTTGCGTGGAAAAACATTAAAATTATCCCCATACCAAAACCATCTTCTGGTACTGATATTAAATTTCGGCCTATTGCAATTACTTCTCACTTTTTAAAATTGATGGAAAAATTACTTTTACTTCGTCTTGAACTCTAATTGAAACCTTTTAATGGAGCCTTCTTGGATTATCAGTATTTTCTTGTATTATGACTAAAACTCGAACCTCGTAGAATCATGTTGTCTGTATTAGTGATAATTTACTCAAACGGGAACCACTGCCACTTCACTATTTTAGATCTAAATAGCTTATTCACTGTCCTACTCTCAGGATTATTATCCATACTGTGCCTAATTATGAGACGGATAATTAATTGGGTGGCATATTTGAAGAGGATGAAATATGAGTGTTACACGTACCAACACTTCCAGATAAACCAAAGAGTTATTCGGAAATAACGCAGTTGATATATGTGAGCCGGCAAGAAGAGATAAACCCTCATATTCATGTTTCCAATAATTCATTTGTAGTTGTGAGTACCCCCAAATATCTATCATGTCATAAACCTGACAAATAATATTCAACCGCTAGTATACTGTGATCATGATGACACCAGTCTAGCTATGATATTTCAAGGAACTAAACACATATCTGCTTTGAAGAGAATTAGGAAATTGTGCCCAGTCAATGATTTCACTTTTCTTTTTCAAGAGGAGTTTATCGATAGATTTCAGTATTCTTTTCAAAATTTGATCAAATATATTCTTTCGTGTCACACAGTTCACAAATGTGCACCTACTGAGCAGTGAGTGTTTCAAGAGCAACTGCACTTGCTTTAATATTCCTAATATTTGGTGTTCCAGACAGTAGGAAATAGTAGGTCTACTTCATAGCTGTTCCTTTCATGTAAGAATAGTAAATACCATATGCGTCTCACTTGTCGCCGGTGAATCAGCTTTTTAGGGATAATATAACTTCGTTCTCTCTCTTGGTGTGAAATCCATCCCTTAACTCTGTCAACTTCATGCAGATTCAGCCTTCAAATAAAATATTGGAGTGTGGAGTTATCCGAGTAGGAACAAGTGAAGCATATCTTTATGTGAACATCTGACAGTCAGATATGCAAGAGGAAAATATTATTGTTTCGATTGTCTTAGTTAGGTTTGCACATATGTGATGACCTGATGTGTTGTGACGTTAGTGGTCTTTACTAGATCGAAACATTTTACGCATTTATGACAAGTATCCTTTTTCACCTCTGTGTGACAGTCATTTCGATTTTCACCCTCCCCCATACACCCAGTTTAGTTATCATGAAATATTGTTAAACGTTAATTGTGACAAGTATAATAATTATCTGCAGATAGAGGAGTAGTGCATAGTGCATTGATACTGGTGAGTGGTGAATGGTGAGTGCCTTAAACGAGGACAACATGTCTGCTGTCTGATATGTTGTTGTATTTCTCATAATAAATTGTTTTTGCATTGGATTTACATTTTCAACCTCATGTATATATATGTATAACTGAACTGAATTGTTGTCATTAAATTTCGTAACATTTCACTGACGAGATATATGATGTGTTTTATTCCTCACTCACTTATAGAATGCATCACACTGCACTACACTACACTACACTGCATTAACCCCGTCACGCTACCCCACCCTCCATTAGGTTTGTAAATTTATTTCACTCTTACTTTTCATATTTGACCTCGTTTGTCTCAACTGAACTGAACTGAACTGTAATCATACCTATTAAGGAGAAGGCTAGACAAGATCACGATGATGACGAGTGTTGGTGATATCAAAGTGATAATAGTTGACTACTTATCATCCACCACCCCCCCTCTCCGTCTGTCACAGTCATTTGTCATCCCCTCTCCCTCCCTCACTCACTCCCTCCCTACCAGGTTGGGTTATATTTTCGTTAACAATTCAGCTACCCCATCAGTTTAGTTTAGGTCTGATTCGACCTAACATGGATTCTGTTTTTTGTCAAATCGCTCGCTGTACGCAGGAAGGCAGGCAGCTCAGTCACCATCCGAATATTTATCCGTTGTCTATCGGCGAGTATGTATGTATTCACATTCACATTCTCATACCTTAATTGGTCAGGTCAACCTGGTCCTGGACCGTATCATTCATTCACGAGTTTTCATTGGAACCACAAGCAATTGGAATTCAAGCAAATTACTACTATTACTATCATAATAATAAGTATAATTTTTAAAAATATGCAATTTCTAGGATGATATTGTAGCGCATGCTACACCAGACAACATTCATAAGTAGTTAGTACACAGACATGATGTGCAAGAATATCAACAAATAGTCAGTTAGTCAGTCAGTTAAGAGAAGAAATGAGTGAGTGAGTGAGTGAATGATACCTTGTGAAGCAACATAGAAAACATAAAAGAAGGACAAAGAAGAGCGACACTTAAGGCAGGTGAACAATGTCATCTCTACATACACATCATCTACATACACCATAAATCCAACCCAGAACTTGAATAAGAAATCAAAAGAGAATACTAAACTACTAACAGTTTAAGCAGTAGTATCCATTCGCCGAATAATTGAAATGTGTTGTACGGATCAATTATAGAGCCAACTGAAAAGTGCTAGATGGATAGCATTTGTCGTAGTGATGTCTTTCACACGGCTTCCCAGAAAGCTTTATTTCTGAGTAGTGTTAGAATATTAGAGGTTCGAATCCGGAACAACTCCTGGAAATTGACAACGAAATCCTTTTTCACGTCTCCCCTACTTTATTCTATGAACGGATTAGTCTTAAATTACTGGAATAATGTAGGTGTAAAATTTGTGTACTACAGTAAAAAGTAATCCCACTGTGGTAGGACAAAATCCTCAATTACTCATTTGATAAGATTATTTGATGCAAGACGCAATGATGACACTGTGTTAATTCCTGGATGACATTCCAAACACAAACTATTGCTCATAGCCTTGAAGATATCCCCTAGTAGGAAGATGAAAGCCTCGCAAATTAACTATCCAGCTCAGAGAACACAACCACATCAAAATCATCCACCTGACCTACGAATCCTATCCATCATATAAGGTTCCATATCAAATATAAAATATGAAATATGATGTAGAAAGCCCAGTTTTGAGGTGTCTGTGGCTGAATGCCATCAAAAAGTACAGCCAATGTGTGTTAGTACGTAAAAACATCAGAGTTGTGACAATAGCGATCCACGTGTTATTTAAAGAACGAGCAAACCAAAGACACACAGTTAAGGGACACAAACAAACAGTATTCAACAGTAGAGGGCTAAACGAGTAAAGCAAATACTGTAAATGACTTTAAACTATAGAAAAATATGTATTACACTTCTAATAAAATATTACTACATAGAGTCAGATAAACTTCCATAGCAAATTAATCGTGGTCAATCGTGAACAAATACAGCTTATACTACTTGCTACAGATAAGTAGTACACATTCTAACACAAAAGAATGAATGACAAAGGCAGATAGGAAAAGCATTAACAGGGAACTTCTAAATTATATTTAGAATGCGTTATCGTTACTATGGCAGCTAATCCTATCAACTTGTTTCTATTTTACTTAATTCTACTGAATCACCCCATTCTTTTCAGTTGACGTTAAATTTACGAATTTCTTGGTTATGTAATAACTTGTTGCTAACGCCAACAAATTAACTTAGCTTGATTTCCGTGATTAGTTTTCTGGCCTTCTTGAAAACTTGGATTTCTTGTTACCAACATCTATGGGTTAACGGATCAGAAACTTGGCGGGCGGTCG